GCTAGGGAGGCAGGTGTATCCATCAGTGTTCAGTGTGTGACAAAGAAGCCATTCTAGGTTTTTCATATGAAAGGAACTTAATCCAGGGAACTAGGTGCTTATGAAGTTGCAGGAAAGGGTTTAAGGGGAGGAACTATGGGAAGTGCTTATGTCATAAGGACTTGGCCTTTGTCTCTGGAATCGGTACTTTTATAAAAGAGGCTTCAACTGGGTACTGATGGCTCACACCTGTTATCCTAGCTACTCTGGAGGTTGAGATCTGAGGATCACAGTTTGAAGACAGTCTGGACAGTAAAGTTTGTGAGACTCTTATCTCCAATTTACCACCAGAAAACAGGAAATGGAGCTGTGGATCAAAGTGATAGAGCACTAACCTTGGGGAAAAAAAGCTCAAGGACAGTGCCCAAGCCCTGAGTTCAAGACCCATGACCACCACCACCAACAACAACAAAAAGAGGCTCCAGTGATCTGCATGGTCCCCATCAGCATGTGTAGATACAGAGGGAAGGTATCTTCTATGACCAGAGTAAGACCTTCATCTTTGACCTCTCCACAGAATTGAAAGAGATAAGTTTCTATTGTTTACAAGTTATCCAGGTGAGCCTATTATAGCAGCCCAAATGGGGCTAATAGAAATGAAATAACCAGAAACATCCAGTGCTCAAATCAAGAAGAGCGGTCTCCCATTGCACCTCTGTGGCCTTGGTGGTCAGTGGAAATGACAGCAAGAATACTCAACCTCCTTCTTACAGTCACCATGGTTAATGATACTTGCTTAATAATCAGAACTATAGCTGCAAGAGAGTCATGGCACATCAGAAAAGTATGTAGGGCTGGGATGTGGAACCATGCAATGTCCAGCCTTGACACCTGGATCTGGTGTCCCAGCAGAAAGATTCATGGAAGAAATGGAAATGGATGCTGAGTGCCTGCTGGACTGTTCAGAGTGCCAGTTGGACTGTTCAAGGTCACTGCCATAATTTCCTTCCTGTACACTATGGTAGACAATGGGCCACTCACTGAGGAGGGCCAGCAAATGGTGTCCAGTTGGATATTGGACATGTTAGGCCTGGATCTCAGGAAAAGATTGTAATTTGGGAGATGTCTGCAGAGATCAGTAAGTCAAAGCCAGGGACAGGAAGTAGAGGGAGAAGAGGCCTAGAGACCAAGTCCCATGAGTACTGGCATCCTCGGGTTCCAGAGGATGGGGACCCACTGTTGCAGAAAGGGGTTTTAAAAAGCCAAGCAAGAACATTTCTAGAAGGTAGGAATATGACCTGGCTAACTCTCCAAGCATTTTGTTAAGGGAAGATACTGAGCTCAAAAGGCCCTTCTGGCTAGAATTGATAGAATTGCACATCCCTTTCAGGGCCACAGCTCTTAAAGCTTCTAGGAAAATGCAGCCTGCTTCTTTGATAAAGAAGGGCCTTGGCACATTCCTGTTGAGGGTAAAAAGACCCAGGTGGGGGAAAAAGGAGGCTGGTATTGCTTGGCCCCCAGTTTGGTTTCTTCTGTCCCCTGGATCAGTCTGTGGTTGGCTGAATCCTTTAGCCTCCCAGAGCCTGTTTCTTCATCACTGAAGTGGGAATAATGGGCTTTTTAGGATTGTCTGGGAGATGATAGGACTTCAAAAAATCAGTGATGAAGCCTTTGGGACTTGACTCAGGTACCCCTACACCACTCTTTCCAAGGCTTTGCTGCATATTCTCCATCTGCCCCAAGTCAGTAACCACAGCTTGGTCCACTCCTCAACAGCATGGCAGCCCTCTTACTACCTCTGGATCGTTTGTTTCCCTGTCCACCCACACCAGGCCAGATGAAAACTATAGAATACCATGAATGGATTTTACTGTATGTAAGAAGAGTGGGTGGGTGAATGGAGGGACAGGCAGATGGACAAATGGATGACTGGTTGAGGGAGGTGGATGGCTACATGCATGGGTGGGTGAATGGATAATACATCTATGAGACCCTTGTCTACAGCCTAGTAAATACTCAAGAAACGCATACTGATTCCTTCATTTTCAGGAATCCTGAGAGGCGAATCAACCTGCAAGACTCAGCCCCCAGGCTCTTGGAGAGAGGCTGGGGGTTCACAGGAACTCATTTAGCCATTCGCAGAGGGTCTGGAATTACTGGTTGAATAAGTTCATGCGTTTAGGGCCTCAAAGGAACAGCACTGATCCAAAGCCGTACTCTGTGCATCTTTATGAAGTATGCCTTGGGGACCCAAGCAATTTATAAGATGCTGGGGGAAATGCTTTTTGGCCCCAGGACCCTAGAATCTGCCTCCCCTCCAATGCACAAAAACCAACTGGCTGGAGACCTCCCCTCCTCTGTGCCCCTGGGCCCTGCCTGCAGTCCAGGTCTATGGAATGGATATGTCCAGGGCATGTCCACTAGTGATGGAGAGACACCTCTGAGCACTGAGTGAAGGCAAGGGTCTGAAAGGGGGGTGGGGAATGGCACCTTTCCCTCCTGTCCCCTCTCCCTGCCTCTCCATTCCTGGGCTGTGGAGGATGCTCGGATCATCCCTGCTTCCCTGAGCTCTGCTCACCTGCAAATAAATCTCTTCTCCCTACACCCACCACCCCCGGATTTCTGCAGCTTAAAGGCTTAGCCATGACCTCAAATGCCGTGTGTGCCCTGCTGATCACCGCCCACCCCCCAATCTCACCATCCGTGGCAGGGATTTGAGCAGTGAGAGCAGGCTCAGGACTCTCAGACAAGCACCATGACCTTGAACTTGGCCCAGGCCTCTCAGACAGGCAAGCATCATGACCTTGAATGTGGCTTAGGACTCCTGACTCCAGCAAGCCACGGGAGGAGAAAGAGGCTTCCTCGGAGACCTGGGTTGACACTGCTCCTATGTGCAGGCTCCCATGAGGCTTGTGCTGCCTGTGGCTCTTGGTGATCTCTGCCCTCTTCCTTCCTTCCCTCATCAGGCTGGTACTGTTTGCTCCCTTGCTTTCTCACATCAAGGCCGGACGTGCTCTGGAGCTGAGAGGACAGAGGTACCTGTAGGTTTACAATCCCGTCCAGACACCTAAGTCCATCTTCTCCTTAACTCAGTTTCAGGAGGGTGGAGAGTCCACACCAGGTCCAGATACCAAGCAACCTCTGCCTGCCACAGCTCTCGCTACCCGTGCCACGGCAGGCCACACACAGTGGTGTGACGGCCTGGTCCCCTTGTACAAGGCAGGGGACTGGGCCAGACAAGCGCCTGGTGGGAGAGCTGGACTGTAGGATGGCTGCAATGGGGTTTTCATGTCCAACTCTCGTTCATATGGCTGGGTAACCTGAGCTGGTCTCCTCCCTCTCTGAGCTATCCACTGTAGCCTTCCAGCAGGCATTGAGGTACAGAGCAGGGTGGGGATGATGGAGAAATCTGTTTCACCAAGGACAGAGCCTCCCGGCAGGAGGCCAGATGGAGAAAGACAGCAGAAAGGCAGCCTGACTTGAGTCTAATTCTCGGTCACCAGCTCTCAAAACACTAGTTTCAGAGAACCAGCGAGGGTCTGGAATTCTCGTGGCAGAAATGGGTATTGATCTGCACTGAAAACATCCCAGCTGGCTTCGTTTCTTCCGTAGACATGATCCTGGCCGCAGGAATGTCGACTCTCAATAATTTTCCTTCTCTGAGCAGACAGACCTTGAGGCAGATTCCTGCCCTTGGACCGACCGGCAGCAGAGATTCTATTACAGAAGTTTGATTACCGAGAGGGAGGGAACAAGGGAAGAGAAGGGAGGGCGTCTTAATTCTCCTCCATCACTTCTTGTCTCAAGGTGGGATCCTTTTCTAGGTGCTTCGGGAGCTGCTGTTTTCTGCTCCTTGTTGGGAGAATTTGATGTTAAAACTCCATGGAAAGACCTTTGTGTTGAGAGCCTTAGAGGAGGAAATTCTGGGTGGGGCATTGGCACCCTGGTCCCTGAGGGTGGGGGAGGGTAAGGTAGTAGATTAGGCTAAGGTAATAAGGTGGGTCCACAGTTCACCTATTACCTCATTGATTCTGTTGGTTGGTGAGGTCTGTTGAGGACCCTCTGCTGAGAGTGGCCTAGACACAGGATGGGATGCTGGACTGGGCAGGGTGGATCTGATCTTTGCCTTCCAGAAGCTTCCAGTCTAGCAAAAAATATGTATCCATTGGTCATCGCAAATGGCAGGGCCAGTGCGAAGGAACTGCTCCTCCCTTTCCTGGAGCATCCTGAGAAGCTGTTGCTGAGAGCTGGCATGGCACTTGAACCGTGCACATTTGGATCCAGTTTTTTTTTTTCCGCCAGTCCTGGCGCTTGAACTCAGGACCGGGGCACTGTCCCTGAGCCTCTGTGTGCTCAAGGCTAGTGCTCTATCATTTGAGCCGCAGAGCTGCTTCCATTTTTTGAGTGGTTAATTGGAGATAAGCATCTCACAGGGCCTTTTCTGCCCAGGATGAGTTTGAATCCTGACCCTCAGATCTCAGCCTCCTGAATAGCTAGGATTACAGGTGTGAGCCACTGGCGCCGGCCCATATTTTTTGAGTATTCATGTCTCCTGTGTCAAGTATATATACTTAGGAATGAAACTGCTGGGCCAGATGGTAACTCTGGTGTATTCTCTGAAGACTGTCAAACTGTCCCTTTTCACTTTCCCACAAGCCACATACAAGGGTCCAGCATCTCCGTATCTTTGCTAATACTTATTACTATCCATCTTTTGGGGTGTAGCCATCATAGTGGCTGTGAAATATATCTATCATACTAGGATTGGTTGGTTGGTTTCAAAACACAAGGCACAACTAAAACCCAATCAGTTCTAAGAGGCTGGGATACCTGTGCATAATCCAGTATCCAGCACTCTCCTAAGAGCATTGATCTGCCTTGGACCCCAAAACAGCTGGCCTTTTCTCCCGCTGGCTAGTCCAATGTCATTGGGCAGTGGGCTCCTGGGTGGATTCTCAGGGCTCAGAAAGGCAATTGGGGCCACAGATCTCTAACTTCTGTTATCTCCTCTTGTCTTGCAGCAATTCATGAGTTTCCCACAGACCTGTTCTCCAATAAGGAGCGACAACACGGAGCTGTCCTGCTGCATATCCTTGGTGTGAGTGCTTCTCGGGGGTGAGGTCGCCAGGGTGGCACAGCCCAGCCTGGCTGAGATCCCAGCAAGGCCTTGCAACAGGTCCAGGAGGAGAACAGACACAGGGCCCTTTTGCCCACCAAGAAACATCTGAAGTCTGCTAGGCGACCTGGCTCACATCATATAGCTAGTGGCCCTGGAGCCAATGCAAGGACACAATTTTTTTTTTGGTCCAGTTGTGGGGCCTGAACTCTGGGCCTGGGCACTGCCCCTCAGCTCTTCAGCTCAAGGCTAGGGCTCTACCTCTTGAGCCACAGTGCCACTCCTGGCTTTTTCTTTTTGCTTATGTGGTGCTGAGGAATCGAACCCAGGGCCTCAGGCATGCAAGGCAAGTGCTCTACCACTGAGCCACCTTCCCAGCCCCAGGACACAATTCTTAATGTCTCTTTATCTTCTTTTATAGACTTGCATATTGGAAATAGAGGTCAAGGGCAGGGCAGGGCAAGTGCCTGCCCCGTGATTCCTGAGACTCCTCCAGCTCTGCCCCCCCCCCCCCCCCCCGTCATCCCTTCACCCCTCCTCCAGTGCTCAGGGTGGGGATTAAAGTCCTACCCAGTCACCCAGTCAGAGTGGGTCCTAAAGCCACCAGTGATCTCCTTAGCATACAGGAGACTTCAAAGATCCCACGGGCTTTTGGAGCTGTGTGCCACAATCCTAGGGGGCACAAGAGGGAATGTATTTTTTTTGTTTTTTTTTTTACCATGTAGAAGAGGAGGAAGTCTGAGCCCAAGTGGCCTGGGGTCTCATCCCCGCTGCTTCTCAGCACATTATTTCCCCTCTCTGAGCCTCAGTTTCCCCATCAGTCCGTGAGAAGATGGCGGGTGCTGGGTTTTCCTACTTGCCTGTCCCCAGACTCAGCCTAGATATCTGATTTGGGGTCCAGTGGACCCTGGGGAGGCCCTGGGGGCCCTCGCTGACCCTGCCTCATTTCCCCCCCAGGCTTTGTACATGTTCTACGCCCTGGCCATCGTGTGTGATGACTTCTTTGTCCCATCCCTAGAGAAGATCTGTGAGGTATGTGTGAGGGACGGGGACTCTGGTGCCGCCTGGGATGACGGAGAACATGTGGCACACGAATGGCCAGGACAGGAAGGCCACAGTGAGATGCAGACATGGAGGACACGGGCCCGCCAAGCCCCAGGCGTTGCCTCCAAAGCCACCAGACACCATGACAGATGGTGCTCCCTCCCAGAACTTGGCACAAGTGGTGCCAAGTCATTGCTCAGATGGTCCAGCTCCCCCGCAGCCCACGGGCCTGTGTACCAGACCTGGCTTAGCACATGGGCAGGTGCAGTGAGGCTGACGGTGCAGGTGTGCACCTGTAGAGGAGGAGGTGAGGTCCCAGGGGCAGATCTGCTTCCCCTAAAGTGCTCACCGGGGGATCCTGAGCTCTGGGGGTGGGAAGCCCCTCCCTCTAGTTAACCCATCGAGTTTTTTTTAAACTTTCCTTTCTTCCTTTTCCCAGTACACAAATCCCCCCAGTCTACCTCTTGGCCCGGGAAGGAAAGGACTTTTGCTTACAGCACATACCCCGTGTGACCCGAAGTCCTTGCCGCCCTTCACCCTGTGAGGCCGCCCAGCTGTGTGAGGCCATGTTGTCATGGGTAGCTGGAGGCAGGGGCACCCCTATAATTTTACCCACTTCCAAAACACCGTGGGGGTGTGGCAGTGATTAGTGTCGTGTACAGTGGGGAGTCACACCCAAAGAGTGACCTGACTTCTCCTTTTCCCCTTCCACCCTTCAGGCCCCTCAGATAAAGACACCAGGCTATCAGGGCTCCACCTTGCAATCCCATGAAATGGGAGTTAGGGGAACAGTGGCTACTGTAAGTCGTCTTTGGCTATTTCTGCAACCCAGTGGTGACCCCTACCCCCCCCTCCAAGAAATAGCAGGTCCTTGTAGTGTTGGTCGTAGTGACAAGATATCTTATATAAACAACTTAAAGGAACAAAGATTTGGTATGTATGTATATACATACATGCATGCATGCATGTATTGTGTGTGTGTGTGCGTGTGTACATGCGTGCAAGCATGTGTGCCAATACTGGGGCTTGAACTCAAGGCCTCCCACTGTTGTTGGGCTTTTTTTGTTCCAAGCTGGTGCTCTATCAATTGAGCCACTGCTCCAGCTTTTTGCTGGTTATTTGGAAATAAGAGTCTCACAGATTTGTCTGCCCGTGATGGCCTCAAACCTTAATCCTCCTATCTCAGCCTCCTGAGAAGCTAGGATTGCAGGCATGAGCCACCAGTGCCTGGCTTTAGGAGCAAAACTTAATTTTATCTGATGGTGTCAGAGGTTGTAGTCTGTGTCGGCTGGCTGGCTCCATCACTTTGGAGCCCTTGGTGAGGCAGAGTGTCACGGCGGGAGGATGTGGCCCTTCATGACAGTGGCCAGGAAACGGTGACGGAGGGAGCCAGGAAGGGGTGGGGGACTAGATGTGGCCCCCACGGACATGTCCCCAGTGACCTTCCTCCAACTGCCTCGTCTCCCAAAGTTTCTATCTCCTCCCACTAGTGCTGTCACGTTTATGAACCCACTGGTGAGTGAATCCGCTGGTTAGATCCCAATGCTCGTGATCACCACTGGGTGACAATCCTCCACCAGCTGGTGGCCCCTGGGGAGACATTTGGGGGCACATTTCCCATCCAAACCGCCATAAATAGTGATTATGCACCCCAGACCCTGACAGGGTTGAGAGCTTGTGGCAGCTGTGGCTTTGGGGCTGGCCCCTGCCCTTTGCGGTAAGAGGAACCCATGGGATGTGACTGACCGACTGACAGCATCCGGTGGCCATGCCAGGTCCCCCTAGAGCCACCCAGATCCCTTAGGATGGAGAGGTGAGCAAGGGTGATGGCCGTGGCACTAGAGGTTAAGACCCATGTAAGGAGCTTAGTGAGAGCCATCAGAGGACAAGGGGCAGGGAGTGATCAGGGGAGGTGATCAGGAGCTTCACTGGGAGCGGCCAGGTGAGAAGGCGGTCAGGAGTATTGCCGCTGGAGAGAAGTCTGGGTAGGTTTCATGGAGGAGGTGGGTACTGGGTCTTCAGAAGTAGGAAGGATTTCAATAAGCAGAGAGGAAAGCCAAGGTTGGGAAGAGGCAGGACCGGAGGCAGTGCAGTCTGGGTTCTGCTCAAAGCGATGAGTGAGGCTTGGTGGGCAGGCCAAGTAGCTGAGCTCCTGCCTTGGGGATCAGCGTGATGTCCCTCAGCCTGGTCAAGCCCTGGGCTCTGATACTGTGAGGCACCTTTCTATAAGCTAGCCAGCCCATAGGGAGAGGGAGCTAGCAAGCTCAGGCTTCCAGGGTGCAGGCCTACATTCTAGATGAGAGGATGGGCCTCCCTGCCACAACTTGGCCTCCCCGGGTCCACAGGGCCAGTCGTGAGTTCTCAGCCTCCTTCCTGGACATGAACCTCTTTGCCAAGCCTTCCATGGAGAAGGCATTGTTTGGAGCAGGACCCAGGTGGGTGCCAGGCGTTAGCCCCTACCTCCTGATATCCTGGAGATGATCACTAGGTTGGTGGACCCTTGCTGGGCAGTGCTGCCTAGGAACCCCACCTAACAAAGGCCGGGGGACTGTCAGCACCCTCTACCTTCTGTGGTCCAAAGAGGGCATGGCTGGCCCAATGTGGGTGCAGGGTGCCCAAAAGACTTCATCAGGGCGTGTTCTGGAACAGAATGGTAGATAGTGGGAGGGAGAAGGGGTTGTGGGCCGTGTGCTGGGGTGGGGGAGGATAGGCTGCAGGGTAGAGGAATTAGACTCAGCTGTAGCATGGCTCCTCTGAGCTCCCTGGCAGCCAGAGCCCTGGTACCACGTCCAGCGCATATGCACGGCTGTGTCACCCCTGAGCGCCTCTGGTCCCCTCTGTTTCAGAAACTCCATCTGAGTGAAGATGTGGCCGGAGCCACCTTCATGGCTGCAGGAAGCTCCACGCCAGAGCTGTTTGCCTCTGTGATCGGTAAGAAATGGCCAGCTGCTGGGATGAGAGAGAGGAGACGTGGAGAGAGCGAGAGAGTGCGGGCTGGGTGCCAGCATGGGGGAGGGGGCGGGTATTAGCTTGGAGCCTCCATTTTCACATCTGTAAATCCAGAGGTGCGGGGGCCATGTCTTAGGATGTGGGGTGCTAATGGGCTTCTTTCAGCAGTGATGAAAATGTTCGAAATTGAGACTGGTTTGGATGGCACAATTCTGTGTGTATACAAACTCACTGAATCCTAGTCTTTAAAGGTGTGAATAAGACCTCAATAAAGTTATTCCAAAAACTGGGAGCTGCCAGGCACTGGTGGCTCATGCCTGCAATCCTAGCTACTCAGGAGGCTGAGATCTAAGGATTGAGGTTCAAATCCAGCCCAAGGCGGGTAAGTCTATGAGATTCTTATCTCCACTAAAAACCAGAAGTGGAGCTATGGCTCAAGTGGTAGAGTGCTAGCCTTGAGCAAAAAAAAAAGCCAAGCAGCAGCATGAGGTCCTGAGTTCAGCCCCAGTACCAGTACAAATATTAAAAATAATAATACTTAAGAATTAAAAAGAAGAGCATTGGGGAACTGTCCCAGGGCCCTCCACTGTCCGGTGTGAATGTCAAGGGTGTTGTATTTGCTGCTGAGAGCGTGGGGGTGGTGGGAGGGGCAGGGCTGAGGAGCAGGGCTGGCCTGGCAGCCAGGGCCCACAGTGGAATCTTCTTTCAAGGCGTGTTCATCACACACGGGGATGTGGGCGTGGGGACCATCGTGGGCTCTGCCGTGTTCAACATCCTGTGCATCATCGGAGTGTGTGGACTGTTCGCTGGCCAGGTCAGTGGCTGTAGGGCAGAGGATGAGCTTCTCTGGAGAGGGCTGGAGTAGAGGTGGGTGCTCCTGCATCTGAGCCCATATGCCTGTTGTTGCCGGCCCAGTACTCTGGGGCTTGGCTTTGTTGCCCCCCACAGGCTGAAGCTGGCTTGTGGCTTGGTACCTACAGACTTCCAGAGGATACTAGACTTTGCAGCCTCATGCGCACAGCCCTGCCTTGTTTGGGGAGACAGAGGTGTGCAACCAATCATACTTGAAGGGGCCACAGGGTACCCCTGTCTCCACTTTGACAGCCGGTTCTGGTGTGAACCGTTCCCAGCCGCTACCTTGGGCGAGGGCTGGTTTTACCACCTCCTCGAAGATTACGGGGTTCTATTTTCTTCCCCAAGTGTAACAAAGGTCCAGGGGCAGCCAGGGAGGAGCCCCAGGGCCCCATGCACCTGGGGAGGGGGGCTGGGGGGAGCTGGGAGTCCAGGCCGTAGCCACTGACAGTCTGTGCTGGGGCAGGTGGTGCGTCTGACGTGGTGGGCCGTGTGCAGAGACTCGGTGTACTACACGCTCTCGGTCGTCGTGCTCATTGCGGTGAGTTGGCACTTCACCGGGGATCAGGGGGCCGGGGCCCTGGGAGGGCACACACCCCTGCTTGTCTGCCCCTGACAATGTGGCCAGCACCTACAGCCCCCAATATGGAGGTGCTGACCCCTCCTGCAAGCTGATTGACCATCACCCCCTCCCCACAACACACCCTTCCTACTGCACCGTGCCTCCCCTCCCACACACTCATACCCGCTCATTATATTTTGGAGGGGGGGGGTATCTCCATGGTAACAAGGCTTAGCAAAGCCAAAGTCCACGCCATGGGGTCCACCTGGGAAAGCTCACGCATTTGCTTCTCGGAGGCCCCTCTGGTCCCCTCCAAGGCCCAGCACAGGGCTCATCTGCGTGGGCTCTGTGGGGGGGGGGGGGGGGTCATGTTTGTCCTTCATTTGGAATGAATAGGCCCCCATTTCTCTCTTTTGCCTTCTAGTTCATATACGATGAAGAAATCGTGTGGTAAGTTGCTAAAATTTATGGTTGTTTTCCAGCAGCCTTGTTTATTGGGTTTGCTGGGCTGTCTTGAGAATTATTATTTTTTACAACCCTATGCTAATTAACTTGAGGAAGTTAAAAGGATGTCATTCTGAGCAATCTTGTCTTTTTCCTTTCAAAGTGCTGGAAAAAAAATTGTTTTCCTCAGTACTCACACCCTGCCAGATAAGCCAGAAAACTAAAATGATGACAGGTTTTTTTTGGGGGGGGCGGGGAGGATGGATTTTGTACCAAGAGAAGGACTCCAGTACCAGGTGTGCTCCTGGGATGAGGTGTGATGGTAGTGATGGGCCTGGGGGGGGGGGGGTGGTGGAGAGGGGCAGGGGGCAGGGTCGCAGGTCACAGGTGCCCCAGTGCCACACAACATCTGAGCCCACCCTCTCACCTTGGTCAGAAACGTCAGAAGAGCTGAGTCTCTTACCATGAAAAGCAAACTTTTTGTTTTTCGAACATCATTCTGTATGTTTCTATGAAGGTGTTCTTTTTTTCTTTTTTTTTTCTTTTTCTCTGGTCCTGGGCTCTGTCCCTCAGCTCTTCAGCTCAAGGCTAGCACCCTACCACTTGAGCCACAGCACCACCTCTGGCTTTTTCTGCTTATGTGGTGCTGAGGAATTGAACCCAGGGCCTCATGCATGCAAGGCAAACGCTCTGCCCCTGAGCCACCTTCCCAGCCGTAAGGTGTTCTTTTTTTTTTTAATTTTTCTATTAAGTAATGATACAGAGAGGTTTCAACTCCACAAGTCAGATGATGAGTGCAATGCACCTGCCCAGTGTCACCCTACCCATCATTCTCCCCCATCTTTTCCCCCTCCCATCCTGACCATCCATCTTTACATAATCTACATTGAATGTAGTAACTGCTTTTGCTCATCTTTTCTCCCTCCCTTTGGGTCCTCCCCCATTACCTCCTCCCACCCATCCCCCCCCCCAAAAAAAGCCTCACCTTTCTGGTATTCATTTTGGTGAACAGTTTGTTATTTGTTCAGAGGAACTAACACCATTGGGCTCCCTCCCTGAGTGCCCAGTCCTGGTCCTTTCCTCAGTGTGTTTGTGTACATATGCAGATAAGCCTGTAGTAAAGCAAATGCTTCCAATGAAACTTGGGAAGGAAGTAGAGACTCACCTTTAAGCCATGAATTAAGATACAGCAAGCCCAGAGTTGAGAGGAACAAGGGCAGGCTCTACCCCGGGGCCTGAGCGCTCATATTCACAGCCATGGGAGCCACCTGCTTATTAGCAAGATGCAGAGCCTGCCTCTCATGCTACCGTCTGTGAGAAATCCTCCAATGGCAAGGTTAAGGGATTCCACTATCTGCCATGTGCACAGACACTCTGGCTTGGGCCGCATCTTGGCTTCTTTCTCAGCTACCCTAGCAGCCATAGATGCCCTCTACAAGTCCCCTCTGGCTGAGGGTGTGTGGGTACCATGTTAGCAAGATGCCCACAGCCCTGGCCTGGTATGCACAGACTTTGTTACACATCTGTGAAGCTCATGTGGCTTCTTAGGGCCTGTGGTCAGAGCCCCACAGTTTATAGGGTTGGCTGTGTCCACAAGAGCAGTGATAGTATGTTCCAGAATCTGTGGGGGAGGAGGGGGTTGCGTGCCCCAGTATTGGGACTCGAATTTATGGCCTCTTACTCTACCTAGCCCTTTCAAGGTTGGTGTTCTACCACTTGAACCACACCTCCACTTCTAACTTTTTTTTGCTGGTTAATTGGAAGAGTCGCACAGATATTTCTGTCAGGGCTGGCTTCAAACTGGGATCCTCAGATCTCAGCCTCCTGAGTAGCTAGGGTTATAGGCCTGAGCCACCAGCACCTAGCTGTTTCCAAATCTTGAGTGACCTTAGGTTCATTTTAATGTGGCAGCTTAGTCTCTCCAGGTAGCTGGGGGTTAGGGACTTTGCCTGAGTCTTGTAGCTGGCTGAGAATGAGCTTGCTGAGTGATAGGGCAGCTCTGGCTAGGATATCTCACCCTCCTGCCGGGGGCTGGGGATGGGGGAGGTGAGGCTAGCCCACCCACTGCTGTCTTGTGCCGCCCCATCTCGCCTGCAGTGCCAGGATTTCTAAAAGTAACCACACTCTCTTTTGTGTCTTCGAGGTGGGAAGGCCTGGTGCTCATCATCTTGTACGTGTTTTATATTCTGATCATGAAGTAAGTGCCCTCTCTCTCCTCCTTCCACTCACCCCTCCCACCTTGCGCAGAGGAAAGGAGAGCCTCAGAACCCCCAGTCAGGTTTGCAGTCCCTCTGCTAGAGACAGTGCTAGGAAGCTGCCTACGTGGGGATGGATGTTCAGGCGCTGTTTTGGGGTGCAGGTCCTACCAGTGGAGTCATGCCAAGTGGCTGGGCAGCTTCCTCTGAAGTAGGGTAATAGCCACTCTTGTGATAGTTGAATGACTCTTCCATAGTTCAAGACCACCCTTAGAAACAAAACAAAACAACGGGAGGCAGCCTACCTTCTGCCCGAGGCTTCAGAAAATGCCAACAAGGGCCACAACATGATACAATTGTATGTGTCCCACGCACGGGCCTGGGTGTGCAGGCACTAGGCTCTGGACCCTACACCCAAGGCCCCCACAAGCGGTGCTCATCACCGACTCAGAGGATAAAGTTCCGGTACCTGTTTCCTCACAAAGAAGGCAGCCACTAGGGGACAAAGGTGGTATGATTCCATGTAGAAGTATCTCGAAGATCCAGGTTCATAGAGACAGACACAGATTCAGGGTTAGTGAGGAACTGGGGTCTGAGTATGGGGAGCTATTGATTAATGAGTACAGTGCTGCTGTCTGCCTTGGTTAAAAAAAACTTGAAAATATTGGTGATCATTACATAGCCATGTGAACAGAATTAATGCCATGCAAGCGTGACTGAAAAATGAGAAATAAATACAGGGACAAATTATGTTGTGGATATTCTCTACCAAAAAAAACCCAAACAAACAAACACACACAGTATGAGCAAAACCTTATGTGGGCTCTGAGACATTTATGTCTCCTAAAGAAGGGTGATCAACTGTCAAGCCGCAAGAACATTGTTCTCAAGTGATCTCTCGGACGTCTTTCCGAGAAGCAGCCAGCCCCAGGGTCTCAGAGAGGCTGTGCTGGCTGACAGGGAGGGGAGGAGGCCATCACGCAACCCAGAGGAGAGAGTCACTCCCAGAGCAAAGGGAACAGGTGCCCCTTTGTTCCTTTGTTGGCAGAACAATTTTATTTTATGTTTTTGTTGGTCATAGGGCTTGAACTCTGGGCCTGGGTATTGTCCCATAGCTCTTCAGCTCAAGGTGAGTGCTCTACCACTGAGCCACAGCACCACTTCCAGTTTTCTGGTGATTTACTGGAGATAAGAGTCTCACGGACTTTTCTGCCCAGGCTGGGTTTGAACTGTGATCCTCAGATCTCAGCCTCCTGAGTAGCTAGGATGACAGGTGTGAGTCACCGACGCCTGGCTATGGCAGAACAATTTTTATTAGGACACACTTAAAACATCCAGTCACTACATCGAGTGTGACATCTCTGCCTCCTCTCGGGAGCTGGCTAACAGCTCAATAGGAGCAGTATCCCAGCACACACACCCCAAGGTTCCTGTCTGAAGGGCCACCAGCTGCCTGCATACCACGCTGACTGCACTAGTATGGGCAAGACTGCCCTCCGCTGCTCTGACTGCCTGCCTTACCTGACTTCCAGGTACAATATGAAGATGCAAATGTTTTTCACAACCAAACAAAAGAGCATTGCCAATGGCAACCCCGTGAACAGCGAACTGGAGGATGGTAATGATTTCTATGGCGGTAGCTATGATGACCCGTCCATGCCGTTGCTGGGGCAAGGTAAGGCTGAGCAGACAGGACTGGTAGGACATTTTCACAGAAGCCACAGCCCTTCTTTTACACACACACACACACACACACACACACACACACACACACGCACACACACAATGAGGAGGGAGAATCAGTGTTTGAGATACTGCCTAGATTGATGTTTGCTTTAATGCAAGGTACACGAGGAAAGAATAAAACGTACGTGGGAATTCCCCCACACCTTCTGTGTTGTGTATTGGTACTGGGATTTGAACTCAGGGCCTGGACTCTTTCCCTTAGCTTTTCCACTCATGGCTGCTCTTCTACATTAGAGCCACAGCTCCACTTCTGGCTTTTTGGAGGTTAATCAGAGATCATTTTCACAGGCTGCCCAGGCTGGCTTTAAAGCGTGATCCTCAGATCTCAGCCTCCTGAATTACAGGTGTGTACCACTGGCACCTGGCTTTCCCATACTTCGGAGAGCAGGCAAGACCTGTTTGGCTCTTTGGAAAAGCCACTTCCTGACAGGAAGCTGAGAGCTTGGGGTGGCAGAGCCTGAGCCTCCCTGTCCTGGAGAAGTCCGTTCCAGAAACAGCTCCAACTTGGGGGCTGGAGTGAGGAGCACAGGACCAAGCAAGGCAGCCTCAGGCCAGTCCCAGACACCCCTGCAGGAGACCCCTGCTGAGGTCACGGTAGCTGCTCTTCATTCTCTCCCCACCCCCAACTCGTTGGGACCTAGGAGTCTGGGCCTCAGAGGCCAGCTTCTATTCATCTTTGTCAAGTTCTTTGAAGTGTCAAGGCCTGACTGGCTACTTCCTTGGACATCTACTTGATTCTTAGTAATAGGGCCAGTTGCCAGGCCACAGCAGCTGCGGGACAGCCGCAGGGAGGAGTTCATGCTGCCCCAGACCAAGCAGTAAGGCCTGAATGGGTCACAGGTGAGGGTGAGGAAAGGTAGGGTTACAACCAACTTGCCAGCCAGGTGCCCTAGCCCTGCCCACCTGAAGGTCTTTTCTATGGTCCTGGGCAAGTCTCCTCTTTCTTCAGGTGACTTTAATTTATTATCGAGATGAGGGGCGGGGCCAGGTCATGACACAGGACCTGTGTCTGGGACATCCAAGGAGTCTCTGTTTCTCCATGCCCCCTGCAGCCACTGTCCTGGGACCAATCAGCATTGTCTCCCAGGTGAATTTTATACAGGCGCATTGTGTCCTGTCTCAATGCCCCAGTGGGACTGAGGGGACCCGAGATTCAAGGTTTGCCTTTTCTTATAGGTAGGAGTTGCCTTCATCTTAACAACCATGAGTCTTGTGGTTGGAGGCCACCCCAGCGTGGGTCCCCATCCCCTCGCCTCTGAGCAGGTGGCTCTCCAGCCACCACCCTGCAATCTAAGGATTTCAGGCTGGGCTAGAGATGTGGCTCAGTGATAGGGTACCTGCCTGGCAGACACAGGACCCTGGTTCCATCCCCACCCTGCGGGAAAAGAAGGAAAGAAACAACTCTTCCTGAACTCTTTTAGTAGCAGTTTGTGTTCCCCATAGAAACCTTAAAGCTTTTAAAACTAAATCTCTTGAGCCAGGTGCTGGTAGCTCACACCTGTAATCCTAGCTACTCAGGAGGCTGAAAAAACTGCAAGTCCAGCTGTGGCTTAAGGTAGCAGAGCTTTAGCCTTGAGCAAAAAGCTCAGGGACAGTGCTCAGGCTCTGTGTTCCATCTCCCTGACCAACAGAAAATAAAACAATAAACTTCTCCTCTTGAGAGGAAATGGGAAGAAAACACCTTCTTGTACCTGAAGCTTCTTTGAGGTCGTGTAGCTGAGCACACCAGATGGTCTCCTGGATGGCTTTCAGGTGGCATTGCTCACAGCCTGACAGCGGGGGGCCTCTTGGTCATCAGCTGCTGCATTGTACCAAGCCAGTCTAGCTCTCTAGGGGGCTGTTCCAGCCTACCCATGGCCTGGGCACCCCTCAGGCTTAGCCTGGGAAGGGAGAAGCGACCCAGCCTATGTTTGAATTACCTTCTGGGCAGCCACTCTTGGCTTGGACACACCGCCTTATGCTATGGCACAAGGCAAGGCGCCCTGGGTGTCAGGTGTGTCAAGTCCCACTCTGAGCTCAGCTACAACCCACATAGTGGCTGTGTCCGGGCTGGCTCTCCAGATCGGAGCCTGGAACCTACAGTGCTTTGCTGGTACCCCCGTTCCCCCTCTAGAAATGCCCCCACCCCCACCCCCAGCACCAAGGCTCCCTGTGAAAGGAGCTCGCTACTAACACCCTCCTCAAATAACCCTCTGGCGTCCTGGCCACCATCAGACTCCACGCTGACCGTCTCTGGCAATCTCTGTTGGCCTCTGTCTCCTTAATTCTCTTCTAAATTGTAAGTAATCTGCTCTCATCCAAGCAATAACATGAGCTTCTAAACATAAATAAACCACGAGCCCAGCTCCACGGTGCACACCTCGCTGGAGGTGAGGTGCATGGTGCTTTCTGGCTGTTTTCTAACCCTCATGCCTCCTGTCTGCTGAGCCTTGCTGCCTGTGGGCCGGAGCGGGAGGGAGGGGGGAGAGGAAGGGGGACTGTTGCACTTTGTGCGTTGTCACGCTGTTAACTCTTGCACGGGTTGCTGTCTGGTCCTTGTTACCCTATTACTTGCAGAGGAAGTCACAAGATCTGACTGGTGCAGAGGGATGGGGCTGCCTGCTTCTGTGTGCTGTGTTCATGAGTGGTTTGGTTATTAGATTTTGCTGGGGACCTGGAGTTCAATGCCAAGCCTCCCAGGATGCAGACTGAGCATGTGCATGAAGGAAGCAGGAAAGAGACCCAGAATGGCCAGCTTTGTTCAGCTTTGTGAGGGGAGGGGAGAAAAAGAGAGAGAGAGACAGACAGACATGTCCCCGATGCCATCAGTGTTTATCAAACATTAGGCTTAACCAGCAGCTCACCACACCCCCCCTGGGACAAGCCGGTACCCTCCTGGGTCTCAGGCACCTCTTCTAGGGCTGGGTGGGTAGGGACAAATCTCTGACCGTTCTTGCCTTGTGCATAATACAATGTGAGAATGTTTCCTAGCAGTGTTGAGGGGATTGTCTGCACAGACCACAGGGCCTTGTGGGAAGCTAAGACTCCATACTGTCTGCTGCTTTATCATGTTTATCACAGCTGAGGGGTCTTGTAGACTGTAAAGTTTCCTCTGAGCAACTAAAAAGGAGACCCCATCCTAGCTACGGGCCCAAGGTACAAGGATGCCTTGGTCAGGCTCAAATGAGGAACTCCAATGCCTTTGCAGTTGGCCAAAGTCAAGCCCCAGAAGAGGAGTCAGCCATCAATTGATAATGTCTAGATAGGCCATATCTGCCCAGGAATGGTCCTGTAATAAAGGATTCTCTGAGCTCTGTGTAACTTGCTGACATCTGAGTTGACTGACTGGAGGAGCTGAAGCCAGACCTCCACGGCCCCATAACCACAGCCCCAGGAGGTTAGCAAGATGAGGGTACTGCAGTGGTCCCAGCACTTAGGAGTAGTCCTCCAAGAGATGAGCACTAATCCTGGCTCTGTGCTTCATAGTGAAGGAGAAGCCACAATACAGCAAGCCCCCGGTGGTGATGGTAGACGAGGTCCTGAGCTCCAGCCCTCCCAAGTTCAGCTTCCCCGAGGCTGGCTTGCGCATCATGATCACCAACAAGTTTGGACCCAGGACCCGGCTACGGATGGCCAGCAGGATCATAATTAATGAGGTAAGTGTGTGAACACAAGGGAGAGAGAGAGAATAAAAAGATGAATGTGCATCTGTTTCTCTATGGACAGGGCAACCTTCAAAGAAAACTCAGGCTGGGAATGTGGCTCAGTGGTAGAGTGCTTGCCTAGCATGCATGAAGCCCTGGGTTTGATTCCTCAGTACCACATAAACAGAAAAGGCTGGAAGTGGCACTGTGGCTCAAGTGGTAGAGTACTAGCCTTGTGCAAAAGAAGTACTAGGATAGGGGCTGGGAAGGTAGCTCAGTGGTAGAGTACTTACCTTGCATGCATGAGGCCCTGGTTCGATTCCTCAGCACCACATAAGCAGAAAAAGCCAGAAGTGGCACTGTGGCTTAAGTGGTAGAGCGCTAGCCTTGAGATGAAGAGCTGAGAGATAGAGCCCAGGCCCTGAGTTCAAGCCCCAGGACTGGCAAAAAAAAAAAAGTAAAAAGAAAACTCAGGACACTGGAGAATGGAAATGCCCTCCTTTTCTTGCTGGACTTACATCTCTTCTCCCAAGTGGGAAAAAATACAGGATATTATTTTTCAGCAAAATGGATATTATGTAGCCAGTATTGCAAAGATAATGAATGTACTGACTACTGGCTTTTTCGGTCTTAGTTTTATTCTAGTAGCCACAGTCAGCACACCACTGGACACAAGAATCGTATTTGCCAGTGCTTAAAAGTTCATTGTTTTGAACATCTGTGCTTCCCTGTGCATATTTCTGTAGAAAATGTATTAAGAAATAGGCAGCCAGTTGCCGATAGCTCACGCCTGTAATCCTAGCCACTCAGGAGGCTAAGATTTGGAGGATCATGGAAGTCAGTCCAGACAAAAACGTCTGTGAGACTCTTATCTCCAATTTACCATCAAAAAGCTAGAAGTAGAGCTGTGGCTTAAATGGTAGAGCACCAGCCAGGAGTAAACGTGCTAAGACCAGGGCTCACAGGCTAAGTTCGAGCCCTTGTACCAGCACATGCGCACACACAAAGAAAACGGTTACACTGTTCCAAGTTTTGAATCTTTTTGGTCCAAAGCAGTGAAGTATTGTATCGATGAAATTTTATTGAAACCTGTCTGTCTTTCCTAAACTTAACTGTACTGGGTGCTGGGATGGCTATTAACCATTCTAGAGGACCGGGGGATGAAGGTTTACTCTATCTCTTTCGTGACATTTTTATTCATCAGGAAAATAACAAATTTGGAGGTTGGAAGGAAGCAGTTGGTGGCACTAGGATTTGAACTTGGGGTCTACTGCTTGCTTGTCAGGTGCTATACCTCTTGTATCTTGTCTCTAGCCCTTTTGCTTTAGTTCTTTCTCAGATAGGTCTCATGCGTTTGACCAGGGCCAGCTTCAGATCAGCAACCCTCTACTGTTTCCCCAGCCTAGACTTAACTGAGTTAGGAATCCATACCTAACACTGACAGGCGGAAAGTTAGTTCAGGGGTCAATAGATCTTTTATTATTTATTTTTATTTTTATTTTTTTTTTGCTGGTAGTGGAGCTTGAACTCAGGGCCTGGGCGCTGGCCCTGAGCTCTTTTGCATAAGGTTAGCACTCTACCACTTGAGCCACAGCACCACTTCTGGTTTTTCTGGTGGTTAATTAGAGATAAGAGTCTCACAGACTTTCCTGCCCAGGTTGGCTTTGAACTGCTAGCGTCAGAGCTCAGCCTCCTGACTAGCTAGGATTACAGGCATAAGCCACCTGAACCCAACTTATTATTACTTATTATTACTATTATTATTATCTATTATTACTATCATCATCATCATCATCATCATCATCATCATTTAGAATAGTATACTTCCTTTGGCATGATCATGGTTCTTGCCAGCCCCCATGATGACCAGGACTGGTATGTGTCCAGGGCAGGTGCATTACCAGGATAGGGATTGGGTCCAGGGACAGAGCATTCTCTGGGGGCAGTCCTCCTGTCCCTGGGTTCCGGGTCAATATTGGACAAGATCTCTTTATCCATGGTGCAACCAGTCCTTGACCCACAGGCCTTAAGCAAATCCATAAATGTTTTGGAACTTGATTAAGGTTAGCAGAGCAGAGGCACATAGTTCCCTAGAAATATGGAGAGGCCACCCAACGGCCACCTCAGTGGCCAACAACCCAGGAAGACTCTGAGTAGCATTCATCACTGGGGACAATGTGAGCTAAAACCATGATTGGATGTTAGCATACACCCACTAGACAGAATGGCGAAAATGAAAAGGTCTGATAATACTAAGTGTTGGCAAAGATGAGAAGCAACAAAGGGTCGTTGTTCTAGAAAGCTGAGAGGGCTGGGTGGAGTCTAGCTACCCTTTCTCACCTGCCTTGTTGTCTTTGTGGTCGGGGGGTTCCCACAGCGCCAGAGACTGATCAATGCCGCTAACGGAGTGAGCAGCAAGCCGCTTCAGAACGGGAGACCTGAGAACATCGAGAACGGAAACGTCCCTGTGGAGAACCCCGAGGATGCTCAGCAGGACCAGGGCCAGCAGCCGCCCCCACAGCCACCTCCTCCCCCAGAGCCCGAGCCCATAGAGACCGTCTTCCTGTCCCCCTTCTCCCTGCCTGGTGAGTTTAGGGGGCGCTGGCTCTCAAGCCAGGCTTCCATGAGCTCTAGCTAGACCAAGCTCAGGTCTCCAAAGACAGGGTGGTGGAGGCGTGGTGTGAATGATTGACACTCCATCATCTAGGTGCTGCTGCTGATAAACACATCATTGGGATGATGGGTAAGCGCTGTCCGGGATGCAGGCACTGCTGGATGTGACTAGACTCTGAAGGCAGAGAGGAAAGTTGATATGCAGGGCAGTTGATGTTTCCTTTGCAATGCAGAAAAGCAACCTGTGATGCATATGTACAGACATGTCAGACTCCTCACCTTTGCTCCTCTAGGCAGGCCAAGCATTGCTTAATTGCTAGGATGGAATATTCTAGAGCTATGGTGAATCCTACACAAATATAGTTTAAACATCTGTATAAACTGTATAAATAAGATCATGTGCTTGCCTTGAGCTGAAGAGCTCAGGGACAGTGCTCAGGCCCAGAGTTCAAGACACACACACACACACACACACATACACACACACAGATCAGACCACAACTCTGCCCTAAGCGCACACACACACACACACACACACACCCAGCACACACACACACACACACACACACACACACACACACACACACCCAGAGACCACAACTCTGCCCTAAGCACGCACACACACACACACACACACACACACAGCTCACACACACACACACACACAGATCAGACCACAACTCTGCCCTAAGCCCTCTGATGTCCTCCTCTCTCACATGGAATCTGGCCTGTAGGTCCAGTGTCATCTGACTGCTGCATCCTTGTCTCTCATTTGTTCTTTTCTTTTTCTTTTATCTTGTTTTTTGTTGTTATTGTTTGGTGCCAGTCCTGGGCTTGAACTCAGGCCCTGAGCACTGTCCTGAGCTTCTTTTGCTCAAGGCTAGCACTCTGCCACTTGAACCACAACTCCACACAGCTTCTTTTTGGTATTTAATTGTAGATTCTCACAGACCTTCCTGCCCAGGCTGGCTTTGAACCTCAATCCTCAGATCTCAGACTGCTGGAGTAGCTAGGATTTCAGGCATGAACCTCTGGCACCTGGCTTCTCTCATTCTTATCTCTCTTTGACCCTCTGCTGTAGTCACACTTGCTTCCTCCCCCTATTCTTAGAGGAAATCAGGTACGCTCCTAGCTTAGGACCTTGGCGCTGCCCTTTGCTGAAATGTACTTTACCCCACTATCCACGTGACTTGCTCCCTTGCCTTGTCAAGGTCTCTGTGGAAGTGTCAGCATAGCAGTGTGTTTTCCCAGACCACCTTAGGTCTGGAAATAGCACTGTGGCTCAAGGCTGAAGGTAGAGCACTAGTTTACCAGTGCCCAGTCCCTGAGTTCAAGCCCCAGAACTGGCACACAAAAACCAAGTCATCTTCACAGACAGGCTTCTGTCTATCCACAGTGCATTCCTGCACAGAGTAGGTCCTTAGTAGAAATCTGCTACCTGGTTCTTTTTTTTTTTTTTTTTTTTGGGTCCAGTTGTGGGGCCTGAACTCTGGGCCTGGACACTGTCCCTCAGCTCTTCAGCTCAAGGCTAGCGCTCTACCACTTGAGCCACAACGCCACTTCCAGCTTTTTTCTTTTTGCTTATGTGGTGCTGAGGAATTGAACCCAAGGCCTCATGTATGCAAGGCAAGCGCTCTACCACTGAGCCACCTTCCTAGCTCCGTAATCTGCTATCTGGATGAACTCAGGAGTTCACATCTAAGAGGACCCCAGGCCTCCCCCGTAGCCTGCCTGGGTTTACATCATCAACCTTCCATGAGGACTCTGCTATCCCAGATGGGATGCCTAAGCCCCTGAGCTCCTGTCGTAGGAGTCCTTTCCTGGGGTCTGCCATCCTGAGAGGCAGTGGAATTCCACAACTTCAGAACTTTCAAACCTAGAACTTGCTATTTCTCTGGGGGAGAAAAAAACAATCTATGTTTAATATCAGACCAAGCAAGTAGCTGACTTGGTCAGGGGCCCTGGAATGACATAAGCTGGCTGACCTTTGCCCTATCTTGGCACCAATTTTCTGGCCTCCAAGTCCAAGGCACGGACCTATAGCCTGGGTACTGCTGCTGTGCCTCCAGATGCAGCTCTCTTGGGGGAGGAGGGGGGGTCCCCAGGCTTCCCTGGGGTTTGTGGGTTGGAGCATCTCAGGGGCATGTGCTTCAGAGCCACTATCCCCCCTCTCCCTCTACAAACGCACATGGCATGGGGGCTCGTCCCAAAATTCATGGCCTCCCTCTGAACCTGGACATTCCTAAACCTGGGGCAAGAAGCTTTGTTTTCCCAGCTCCCTGGCTGGTTAGGATTTCTAATACCTAGTCAGCATCTCCCAGCCTTTATTCCATCCAGAGCACACCCAGAAAATTGAATTTGTCCCCTGACCCAGGTCTCAGGGGAGCTGGGCCTGAGGATCAGCTTCCCTAGTCCTCCCATGGCCCACCCAAAGGCCCAGGATCGTGGTGTCTGCCAGGACTCAGAGCTCATTCCGCCAGCCAGTTAAAGCTATTCCCTTGTCTGGGAGTTGGCCTTGGGCGGTGCAGGACCCTAAGCATCACGGGTCTCCTCCAAACTGTATTGAGATAGGTTGTTTGGTCACTCGGGCAATGGGAGCTTCCTACAAGCCAGGATCCTGGGAAAGCAGTGTGTTGACCCAGGGAGCGGCTCCAGGGCCCACGGTCCTAAGAGGTCTGAAAGGCAATCCTTGGGTTTGACCTTGGATGCCCTCTACAACCCCAGCTCATCCCATCACCAGCCCAGGTTCTCTTTGGGTCTACCTGGGGCAGAGGAAAGGGCCTCAGAGCCACAGATGGAGCGGGAGTGGGATGCCACTTGGGGATCTCTGGCTCTATGAGGTAGGTGTGGGTGACCCCATTTTACAGGCCTGATGGGGGCCCCAGAGACCCTCCATGTGCTGCTCTAACTCATTCCTGTCCCATCGCTATCAACATGCAGGGGCTGCAGGAAAATCAGGGCAGGGCAGGCAGGGTTGATTTCTAGTGAGAGGCAAGCGTGGATGAGAGGCCTCAGGACCCGGACCCACATCCTTGTCCAGGGATCTGGTGATCCTCAGAGACATGGCTAGTCGGGGGTAGGGAAGGAGTCTCTTAGTGAGTCACTTGCATGTGTGATACCAGGACTGGAGACCCCAGGGCTCCTGGCCTTCTTGTGCAAATGGCCTCCACCCTGGGAGCTTGACCCTTTGGGGCTAGCCTTCCTACTGTAGCCTGTCCACTTGCCTCCAGCCTGATCCCCCTGGGCCACGCCCCAGTTGAGTCAAGAGCGAAGGTTTTCCTCTGCTTCCTCTCAAGGCTGCCTCCCTTCCTCCAGAGCAAGCTCAGCTTCCTGTGTCCAGGGAAAACCCGCTCTGTATCCCACTGATGTTTCAGGGTTGCCCTTGGAAACCACCAGTGCCTCCCTAGTCTTCCTTCCCATCCCCATGCACAGAACAACCGGAACCGGGCCCGCTGGGCTGGGCTGGGCTGACCTCACCTCCTCTCAGCTCCCTTCTAGTTCTGGCCTGGGGTCCAAGGGTGGCTCTGGGCTGCTCTGGAGGCCTGCATGAGCTGTTCTTCCTGTCCATCAGTCTCCTGGAAGGACAAAGGCAGAAGTCAAGGGAAAGGAAAGAAGCTGACCCCTAGACCAGATGGGTGTCAGCATAGAACCAGGAAGTCAGACCAATGGTGGCTCTTCTGTGTGGTAGGGAGAAGGTAGCACTGAAGTCCAGAAGTCCTAGATATGAAACTTGGTTCTATTAGTCACTATCACCAGGATCCTGGGCTAGCTGCTGTCTAGCCCCTGCCCCCACACACCCGCTTCGTTCCTCATCCACATCCTTGTAATAGGGTGCTGACTCCGGCCTTCTGGGGTTGGTCTAAATAGTAACTTTAGTAACACGGTCAAGGTCTCTGTGCCTTGTACACAGTAGGTGCTCAATGAATGTTCCTGTGGACTATGGTGTGTCTTAGCGTGTGGCTGTCCTGGGCTCCTGCTTGGATCACAAGCGATGATCTAGAAAGGAGCGAGCATTTCTGGAATCCTGGGACTGTTAGTCATTCCAACAGTCAAAAAGAGGGAGCCAGGGGCTGGGAAGGTGGCTCAGTGGTAGAGTGTTTGCCTTGTATGCATGAGGCCCTGGGTTCGATTCCTCAGCACCACATAAGCAGAAAAAGCCGGAAGTAGAGCTGTGGCTCTAGTTGTAGAGCACTAGCCTTGAGCTGAAGAGCTGAGGGACAGCGCCCAGGCCCAGAGTTCAGGCCCCCACGACCAACCAAAAAAAGAAGAAAAAAAACAAAAGGAGCCAGCTGGGTGCCCGTGGCTCAGGCTTGTAATCCTAGCTACTCAGGAGGCTGAGATCTGAGGATCATCGTGGTTCAAAGCTAACCAGGGCTAGGAAAATCTGTGAGACTCTTATCTCCAATTAACCATCAGAAAACCGGAAGTGATACTGTGGCTCAAGAGCTCAGGGACAGTGCCCAGGCCCAGAGCTCAAGCCCCATGGCCAACAATAACAACAAAAAAAGAAGGAGCTAGCCTGAACTAGGTATGTACAGTGTGCCAAGCACTGGGCTGCAGGTACTTAGCAGGCAAAGAACCTCTAAGTTAGTAAATATCTGGAAACCAGGGTTTGTCCTGGCTCTAGGGATCCAGAAAAGAGAAGGGCAGCCATGGTCCCTGGCCCCTAAGAGCTTCATGGCTCACAGGACAAAGGCAAGCAGATGACTGTGCCATGGGCCTGGCACATGGCCTCCTGCCCCATGGGAGGAAGAGGAGGAGGCAGGGGCTCCAGCTGCGCATCCTCTCTGAGGCAGAGCCAGGAACTCCCACTCTTCCCCAAGTTTGGGGCTCCTAACCTGATGCTGGGGTGCTCAGAGCCTGGGAATTGTGCTTCCCAGGAAAAAGAAGGAGCTTTGTCTCCCATCACCACAATCTCAGCCCAACTCTGCCCGGAAGTGGTCACAGGTGGCCCTGAACCCCAGCCTGCTGG